GAGACAGTGTTTTCAAATGCTTTGTTATGAAGTCTCCTTTATTTAAAAGTATTCTAGGTTGTGACCAAGGTCTATGTAGCCCCTATAACTGAAAATTTTAAGCAGAAATTATATATAGGTTTCGTTCGGTAAGAATTTTTGTGGCTATTTTAATTAAAAGATAAAATATATTATTTTAACTATAACAAATAAAATATTACATCTAATTCATAATTATTATATTTTTTTCTCATAAAAAAATTTAAAAAGTCAAAAAGTCTTTCTCAAATTAAATTTTTTAACCGAGACTAAAATAGTCAAAAAAATAAAAAAATCAACCCACTTTCCAAATTTTGGCATAATTTAATAGTTTCTTTTTAAAATAATTATATACTAATAAAAAATTTAACACTTTAATTATTAATAATTATTAAAATTTATAAATTTTACTACTGATTTGATTTTTTTTTTTATTTTCAAATTTACATAAATTGGTATTTTCTCAAATTTTAATTACCAAACTGTTGACAGCTAGTATATACTCATAATTTGATATCAATGTTTACCGTCTTCCAATTACATTATTGATGGAGTCATAATTTGTACGAGTAAGTTGTGGTTTGAGATTGATTTCTTTTTTTTTTTGTTAAATTACTTTTATTTTTTTTTATTTTTTAGTGATGTTTAGAAATTTTTTTAAAAAGTTTTAAAATTTTAGGTTCTACATGGATCAGAAAAGTTAAAAAAAAAAAATCCTTGGCAAATGTCAAGTACAAAAAGTTCACTTTTTTTTTTTTTTGGTCTTAAACTTTATTTTGGATTTTTTTTCTTCAATTTTTTAAAAGACTTTTTAAGCCATTCTAATGGGCAGAATTTTTTTTATTTTTTATTTTAAAAAAAGAACCAAATTTGAAAAAAGAAAAGAAAAGAAGGAAATCACTAAAAACGTAAAAGTTAAAAAAAAGGGTTACCATTGTGACTGGATTCCAAATCACGCCTAAAGTACACTTTTATCGCATTGAATTATTATTTGGTATCATTTTACTTATTAGCTAAAAACATTATACTTTTTTTTATAAAAAAAAAAAAAACTCAGTATCTGGTTAGACTAGTATAATAAAAATATCATACTTTGCCACCTTAAACTATTAATTTGTATCAATATGAACATTTTATTAAGAATTTGTTACATAAATAAATGAAAAAAAAATAACATATGACTTACACATGACATCTTAAATATTATAAATTGTGTTAAAATGACCTTATTAATCTTAAAAAAGTGCAATACACATGTTTTATTGAATTTAGGCAATTCTGAGTCTAATTCAAATTCAGGTTTGCACAAGCTAGTGTGGGTTAGAGGTTGAGCTTGGGTCAAACTTGAACATATCCTTCTATATGCAATATTAATTAAATCCGCTCAAGTTACAATACTACTCTATTGTGAGTAATGCTAGACGATCTAAAAATTCTAAAATAAATTTTTTATCAAATGTATCATATGAGTATAGAACCTAGACAATGTATGTCCCATATGAGTTCTACACCCATATAAGATATTTGATAAAATTTTAAAATTTTTAACATTTTTGTTATACTATTGCTACCTAATAAATTTTTTTTATTGCACGCTGTCCTTATGATAGGCATCTTCAAAAGTTTCAATTTATTCTAGTTAATTATCACTTAATGTAGTTGGAACCCCACATAATAAGATTAATATGGTCAATTAAACACAATGCAGCTGGCAACCATGTGGATTGTAATTTACTACATTAAATAATCAGAGACTTAAATAATCACATAAATTGTCGTATTATCTTATGTTTTATTACCAATTAATAAAAGGATATAAACAGGAAGAAGGGGCTAAATGTGAAATGGGTCGGGTCTAAGCCTTGAGCCGGCCCAATCTACTGAAGTCTGAATCCAAGTGGGCTGGATGAGTATATGGGCAAACCAATTGAGCCTAATTTCATGATCAACAGTCCACCCAGGTCTTCAAGCACTTGGGCCCAACCCGCAGTGGAAAGGTTAGTCCAGCCGTGGTGCTGGGCTGGACCGAGCTGCGAGATTGAACCTATGGGCCGAGCCCATACAAAGATATTCGAATGGATCAGCCCATTTCCATGAATGATCCTGTAAAAAGCCGAGACAAGGCATAAGGATGCCGAGCTGAGGCACAACGGTACCGAGCTGAGGAAACCTCGCAAGGAAACATGGAAGTTGTGAATATGTGCATGTGCAAGTTGCCACCTCAACTGGTCCCCTACGCCTAGAATCACGAAAGTTGTTGAATAAAAGGAATGTGGTTTGTTATCAACATGACTACAATGAGTATATGCATTCAATGACAACTACCAGGTGGTCCCCCACCTTGAGCAATGCTAAAAGGACACCTGACAGCATCCAAACTCCATGAACTCACCTTGAGAAGCAAGCAAGGAATACTATATATACAATATGAACTTCACGTTGAAGGTAACTGAACAATTCCAAGCAAAATCACACTTAGATACAAACTCATCTCTCGATACTATTTTTCTTCGATTGCTAATTCCCACACCGGAGGGGTTTCCGGCCAACCCCGGCCGGGCAGCTCTAACGGTGTTTCTTGTGGCAGGAACCTCAGTTCCTGAATAGTCTAACCGAGTGCGGAGTCCCGATCCACTTTCATCTAGTGCGGAATCCGGTACGCACAATTGGTGCGGTGAACATGGATCACTTCATCTCTGAGCTCTGCACTCAGTTCCGGCGATGGGGATTGAGGATATTCCGCCTTCGACACATACTCCACAGACGGAGAAAACGAAGGACAAAGGTTTGGCACTCCCAACAGTCCCGGAGGAACAAACTGGAAACAATAATCGAACCCCTGAATCCGTCGAGCATCGATTACCCTTCGTTGGAGGTTCTTCTCATCACTTTCTTCTGGAAAAGGATTATAGAGATCGAATCATAGACTTCATGGGGATGGAGATATAGGAGTTGAAAGCCCAACTTAAGAGGGTGCTGGGCGATCCAACAGAAAAAAAGACGGAAGCGGAGCCCTCTCGTTTGCGACGAAGGAGCTCATCTAGAGAGGCACCGATGAAGAAGTTCCCCAGGAATGATTCTGGACAATAAAACCAGCCTATCCCAGTACAGAGTGAGACGGCAAGCAGTCACACCTGTGGGTCACGCCGGAAAAGGGCCAAGAGGCAGAAGACCGTTAGTCAACAGACCGAATACCCTCCTCAGGACCTTCGCACTTGGTTGATTGGCAATAGGCAGAACGAACAACATCGGGATCATTTGGACCGTATTGTTCACCGGAGAGAACACTGAGCGCTAGACAAGCTCGTCTTTTCGTCATTCTCCCTGAGGATTGAGACCATGAGACCTCCAAAGAAATTCACCCTACCAAAGTTCACTTCATATGACGGGAAGTCGGACCCGCTGACACATATTAGCCATTATAGACAGATGATGTCCCTATGGAACCGAGATGAGGCACTGATGTGTAAAGTCTTTCCATCCAGCTTGGGAGAAACCGGACTTCGATGGTTCGATCGTCTCCCCGCTGGATCGATCCATGGCTGGAAGCAGCTCTCCGAAGAGTTCCTAGCCAGGTTCGTCTCTAACACTAAGATCCTGAAGGAGCCGGATACATTGTTCAGTCTCCGAAAGGAGCAGGAGGAAACGCTGCGCAATTATGCCAGGAGGTACTGGAAAGAGTACAATGACCTGGAGGAAAATATGTGCAGTGAACAGATGGCCGTTATGTCCTTCAAACATGGCCTGTGCCCGAAAAGTAAGCTGAGACAATCACTTACCAAACGCCCAGAAAGTAAGAGAACAGATCGAGGAGAACACTGAGGGATTGCAGTGAATGAAGTGGATAAGTCCAAATCCCACAAAGCCGTTGTGACTGTATTCAAAGAGCCAATCTATCGAATCCTAGAAAAAATCAAGAGAGAGCCCTTCTTTGTTTAGCCGCTGAAAATGTTGGGAGATCCAGCTCGGCGCAATCAGAAACTCAGATGCACCTACCACCAAGACAGGGGGACATGACTTAGAACTACAGGGCACTGAAGCAACACTTGGAAGACTTAGTGGTAACCGAACACCTAAGGGATTACATTGATCAGGATAAGGAAATGGCCGAACTGGGGAACCCGTCACCAGAACCGAATGTTGAGCACCCACCTCGATTGATAATAAATGTGATCCACAGGACAGCGACCTAGGAATCTGATGAGGCACTGAAAGAAGAGATCGCTAAGGCTGCGCAAATACAGAGGGTCATGTCAGTGGAGTCTGCATTGAAAAAGGTACGTACAGTACCCAAATCCCCCTTGTGCACTGTTTCATTTAGTAGCAAAGATTTAGAAGGCATACAGCACCCACATACTGATGCACTGATTATAACTGTGGGAATTGGGAAACGATTTGACGTAAAATGAGTCCTAGTAGATCAAGGCAGTGTAGCAGACATATTGTATTATGATTTGTTCAGAAAGCTTGGTCTCTCTGAGCAGCACCTCACCCCAGCAGTAGCCCTGTTGGTCGGTTTCAATTCACAGCCAGAATGGCCGCTTGGCAGAATAGCGTTGCCAGTCGTGGCAGGAACAAAAACCCTCTAGATAGAGTTCTTGGTTATTAATACACCATCCCCTTACAACGCCATACTTGGCTGCCCATGGATTCATCAAATGGAGGCAGTCCCTTCAACCTACCACCAACTTATCCGTTTCCCAACGGAACACGGAGTAGAGCAGATCTCAGGGGATCAAGTTGCGTCCAAACATTGCTTCATGGCAACATTAAATGCAAAGCAGCTTTGCTATCGGGTACAGACGGTAGAAGTGGCCGAACAGCCAGTCTTGGAAGATGTAGGGGGAACCCTAGAGGAAAAGATGGTCGAGGATTTGGAGAAAGTCTTGGTAAAAGAGGGTGACCAAGAAAAGTACTTCCTTATCGGTACCTCGCTAGGCGCTGATGAGAAACTTCAGCTGTTGGAATTGCTGAGGGAAAATATGGAGGTATTCGCATGGTCAGCATATGATACTCCTGGGTTGGATCTAGAATTTGCTTGCCACAAGCTCAACATCAACCCTTCAGCTTGGCCCATTATGAAAAAAAGTCAGAGATCCTCAGTCGAGCACACCGTAGCAGTAATTGCCGAAGTCGAAAAACTCCGGGCTTCAGGAGCAATCAGGGAAGTTCAGTACCCGCAATGGCTGTCCAACACAGTTATAGTCAAGAAGAAGAACGGAAAATGGAGAGTTTGCATTGACTTCACTTGCTTGAACAAAGCTTACCCTAAAGATAGCTTTCCTCTGCTTCGCATTGATCAACTAGTAGACTCAACAGCAGGGCATGAGTGCATGAGTTTTCTGGACGCTTATAACGATTATCATCAGATACCACTGTTCGGTCCGAATCAAGAAAAGACAACATTTATCACTCCGAGAGGAACTTACTGCTACAGAGTGATGCCGTTCGGCCTCAAGAACGCCGGGGCGACCTACCAGCGGATAGTCACTCAGATGTTTAAGGACCAACTGGGAAAAACCATGAAAGCTTATATTAATGATATGGTAGTCAAGAGCAAGTTCGCTACAGACTATCTTACAGACTTGAGAGAAGTTTTCAACATCTTAAGGAACAATCAGCTTCGCCTTAATGCCTCGAAATGCGCTTTCGGGGTAGGAACAGGGAAGTTCTTGGGATATATGGTCACTCACAGAGGAATTGAGGCAAATCCGGACCAAATAAAAACAATACAAGATCTTGAAGTACCAACAAAGGCTAAGGAGCTGCAGAAACTGGGCGGAATGGCGACCGCACTGAATCGGTTCATCAGCAAATCTTCAAATCGGATGAAGCCCTTCTTTCAGCTTTTGAAGAAACGGGCAACATTTGAATGGAGTTCCAAGTGCACTGAAGCACTACAAAGTCTAAAAAAATACCTCAGTACACCTCCCCTTCTGTCTACTCCAGAGCCAGGAGAGGAGTTGTACCTCTATTTAGCAGTCTCAGATCATATTGTAAGTGCAGTATTAATTCGAGAGGTTAACAAGGAACAGAGGCCTGTATACTACGTTAGCAAGACTTTACTAGATGCCGAGACACAGTATCCACCATTGGAAAAGTTAGCTTACGCGCTGCTTATCGCCTCAAGAAAGTTACAACATTACTTCCAGGGGCATACCATCAATGTCCTCACTAAATTCTCCATCAGATCTGTATTTAGCCGAGCTGATTTCTCTGGTAGAACAGCAAAATGGGCAGTAGAACTTGGCGAGTTTGACATTCGGTATCAACCCAGGACAACAATTAAGGCCTAGGTCTTAGCAGATTTCGTCGTAGAATTTGCTCCCACCTAGAGTACCGAACCAAGGAACCCAAGTTCGGCACAGGTGCCACGCATCCACGCATCAACGAACAAGGAAAGCCCTGCGCTTCGGAAGCCTGGAAACTCTTCATCGGAAACATTTGGCAGCTCTATGTTGACGGGTCATCCAATAACCCGAGGTTCGGGGGCAGGAGTAGTACTTATCTCACCAGAAGGATTTATCTGGGAACAGGCTCTCAGGCTCGGTTGGAAGGCTTCGAACAACGAGGCAGAGTATGAAGCGTTGTTGGCTGGCTTACGCAGTGCTGAACACTTCAGTGCAGAACAACTTCTTATTTTCAGTGATTCACAACTAGTGGTAAACCAGCTTTCTGGGGTCTACGAAACACGGGATGAAAGAATGGCCATGTACGCAGACAAGGCCAAAGACTTACTCAAAAAGTTTCAATCCATACGAGTGGAACGAATTAGTCGGGACAAAAACAGCAATGCTGATGCTTTGGCTTGTCTTAGCTCATCAGTGGATACCAAAGATGCTAGAAAAGTTTGGGTTGAGTTCGTGCCAGAGCCAAGCATTGTATCTCCAGTCTTCTGCAGCAGCGTAGAGCCGAGCTGGATGGATCCAATACTTGCTTTTCTAAAATCTGGTACTCTCCCTGAAGACAAAAAGGAAACCAACAAAGTCAGACACAAGTCAGCTCGGTTTTGGATCTCACCATCCGGGAAGCTGTACAGATGTTCCTATCTTGGCTCTTATCTTCTATGTCTGCATCCAAATCTGGTCGAGAATGTTCTCTATGAAATTCACGATGGGATTTGTGGATGCCACGTTGGCGGAAGGTCGCTGGCGCATCGAGCCCTCACTCACGGGTATTGGTAGCCACGGATGCAACAAGATGCTCAGCAGTACGTACAGAAGTGTGATAAATGTCAGAGGTTTGCTTCATTCATTCATCAGCCAGCCAAAATTCTCACCCCACTTACCAGCCCATGGCCCTTTGCCCAATAGGGTCTGGATATTGTCGGACCATTGGCACGAGGCACTGGGAACAGGCGATTCTTTATTGCAGCAACCGACTATTTTACTAAATGGGTTGACGTCGAGGCATTGGCAAATATCAAAGAGGCCGATACGAAGTGGTTTGTTATGAGAAATGTGGTGGTGCGTTTCGACATCCCGCGGGTAATGATTGCGGACAATGGAACACAGTTTGATAGTAAGATCTTTATAAAGTTTTGTGCCGACCTCAGGATTGAATATAGGAACTCTTCTCCAGGGTACCCGCAAAGCAATGGATAGGCAGAAGCCTCAAACAAAACCATCATCAACGGAGTAAAGAAACGGCTTGAGCATGCCAAAAGAAAATGGGTTGAAGAGTTACCCCACGTGCTATGGGCATATCGAACCACAACACGACGATCAACGGGGGAAACACTTTACTCACTAACTTACAGAATGGAGGTCGTCATCCCATTCGAAGTCGGCCTCCCAACCCTTCGGTCTGAATTGTTTGAGAGCACTAGTAACGAGGAAGCTATTACACAAGCACTAGATATGGCAGAGGGCCGAAGAGAAGCAGCACTGATCAGACTTGTAGCGTATCAGTAACAGCTCATCAAGAGTTTCAACCAAAAAGTTTTCCCAAGGCAATTTACACCAGGATAGCTGGTCTTGAGGAAAGTTATGGATCACAAAAAGGTACCTGGCGAGGGAATGTCCCTACAAAGTCACAGTTGTCGTTGGAAATGGAGCCTACTACCTAGAGGATCTTAATGGCAGAGCTATACCTTGGCCCTAGAACGTGGCAAATCTCAAGAAATACTATCAATAGAATTGTCTCCCACCCTCTCTATCAGAATATAAAGGCATTTATCTGTTAACCAATGCAAATGCTTCCCCACTTCTCTCAAATTTATCAAATTCTTGTAATTAGCTTTGATGTCTATCAAACGGAATTAGCTTTGGTTCTTACCAAACGGAAATAGCTTTGATGTTTATCAAACAGAATTAGCTTTGGTTCTTACCAAACGGAATTAGCTTTGGTTCTTATCAAACGGAATTAGCTTTGGTCCTCACCAAATGGAATTAGCTTTGATGCTTATCAAACAGAGTTAACTTTGGTCTTAACCCAAATAGACTTAATTTAAATTTGCTTGGTGGAATAATGTTTGGCAACTAAATTGGACTATAGCCAAGTGGAATTGCTTGGTGGAAACCACACTAACATATCTTAAGTAAACGTCTTTGAATCCACAGAATTCCGTAAGTGCCAACACGTCAACACTTCAGTACTGATTTAAACAAACAGAGTTGGAACAAGCGTAACCAGGCTCTGTCAGGAGCAAACTCCCAGCATTAGTCTTACTCAACTCCAGGTGAAGGCAAACAATTATTTTTTCAAACCAACCTGGACCTGAGTAAGACACCTCTTCATGACTTTATCTCATTCAAACACATCTGCGCTATCAAAGTTACAACAGACTTAAGCAGTTCTATCTAAGAGCACAATCTTCAGTACCAATCTTACTTAGCTCTAGGTGGGGGCAAACAATTGTTTTCTTTTAAAACCAACCTAGACCTAAGTAAGATCCACTTACAAACTTAAGCACAAACATACCACACATCCGTCAGCCACACCAAGCATCAGTTCGGTCCCGAGGTCCCAACAGTGCTCGGCCGGAGGCAAACAGTACAAAGCTACACCGAGCATCAGTTCGGCCCCGAGGTCCCAACAGTGCTCGGCCAGGAGCAAATAGTACAAAGCCACACCGAGCATCAGTTCGGCCCCGAGGCCCCAACAATGCTCGGCCGGGGGCAAGCAGTACAGAATCAGACAGAGCATCTATTTAAAAGCAGTACAGAACCAGACCGAGCATCTATTCGGCCCCGAGGTCCCAACAGTGCTCGGCCGGGGGCAGGTAGTATAGAAAACATTCAAACATAAAAGCCAAACAGCATCAGACTGCAAGTTCAAAGAGAAAATTCTATCATCCAACAAAAGGCACAAATGGCCTCATAACCAGCAGCAAAGAAAAGAAAAGAGAAAAGAAAAATTGTCTTGGCAAGTGCAGAAAGAAAGCTTGTCCTGGAGACCGAGCCACGATACATCAAAATAGAAAAGCAAAAAAGTTCAAATCCTTTCAACATCAACTTTCAGTAACAAAGGTAAACTCAGGAGCAGCATCAACAATTTCGTCCAGGCCGTCTCGGGAAGGAAAAGTAGAGGCAGCTCCAACTTCCTGAGAAGTAGAAGCCTCCTTAACCACATCTCACGTGGCTTTGGTCTCCAGGGTTTCAGTCCTTCAATATCTACCGTTTCAGCGGCAGCATTATTGTCCTGGGTCTTGTTTGTAGAATCAGTTTCTGGGGAAATTTCGGCTAGAAGAATAGTAGGGGTGGAAATAGTCTTCGAACCCAAGGATCTCGAAGGAACGGGGACATCCTGAAACAGGGAAGAGCCTTCAGGAACCAACGCAGTAGCCAAAGCACTCGTCCAACCCTTTAGAAAGAGCTTTCTGCAGTACTAGCACTTCCTCTTATACGCCAGCCCAAAATAGTAGAAAAATTGACTAAAATGGTGGCTCGAAAGGCATGGAAATGAAGCTCATACAATGGTCCAAAAAGGCCACCTTCCCCTCGAGTTGAGCCTGTGTCCCAATAGCAGCCTCCTTCGATTGTTCAACTGAAGCGACAATCTTGTTCAAACAAAATGTTTCATTCTCTGCAGTTCGGCGTCCTTCCTTCTCTGTCTCCAAGCTTACCGTCAGTCTCTTAGCGTTCATTGCGGCCTCCAGCATGACCCTTTTTAGCTCTTCAGCACGGGTAATGGACAGATGCATTCTCTGGATACACTACAAAGGACAACGAAGAATTAAGAGAAAATGAGACAGCAACGCAACAATAAAGACAAGTAAAACGAGGAAACACTTACACCAGTCATCATCTGAAGGGTCCCCTTCAGGATAGGAATATCACGGGGCCCATTATGGTCGGCCATGTCAACCGGCATCAACAAAAACTTAGTCAAATCAAAGGCAAAATCTTGTGAAGCAACAACTGAATCAGAAGTGGAAATGGGCCTGCCTTTATGCGACATTGGCGGCTCCCATTTCTCAAAAGTCTCATCCTCAGCAGGATCCTCAGAAGCTTCTCCCACCACTGCTTTGCTAGCCTCTCTTCTTCTTTTTTTTGCTCGCGTAGCGACCGAAGCTGAGGGCTCAGCAGCAGTCGCAGGGGTCCCAGAAGCTCCCACTTTCATCTTCATTTCCATTACGCTCTTCGCCTCGGTCCTTTCCGGAGGGGTTTCCAAAACATCGGAGGCTTCGAAAGCCTCCGCCTCTAAATTTACCAACACTCTTCTCTTCGCCACAGACCCGCCCCCTGCAAAACTGGGGGTAGGGGAGGGCGCTCTCTCAAAAAGTGCACCTTGACTCCTGTGACGGTTCCTGACCAAAGGAGTGAGAGACGTGTCGGTCTCGGCATCAGAGTCCAGAAGAGCAGCAGCGAGCCTCGCCTTCTTTGGAATAGTGGAACGGTAAGTAGACTAGTATTCTAATAACTCGGGTGCAGATCTCTTTTTATACCTCAGGGCCGCTTTTATGGCTTCAGCGTTCTCTCGGTTTGGTCTTCGTTGGAAACAAGAGGCCTCTGCAAAAAAGAAGTGATCCATTAGAGCAACATCCAAAATAAAGTAAGAAATACAAAAGGCATTAGAAGAAAAGGCCCGAACCTGGGTAGCCGTCTTTCTCGGGCATCCTCTCAGACTGAAACTCAGTTCCGAAAGGGAACTCCCAGTTTCCACCAACTTGTAAGAAATCATCATTGTGCTTATCCGAATTGGGCAACCCAGTAACCAAATGGCAATCAAACGAGCGAACACGCAAGGAATACGTGCTGTGGTCTTTGTTATGAGAAAGTGTATAACAACCTAAGATATCCCATATGTCAAGATTCAAACCCAATCGTCTATTGAGGGCAGATACGCCACAAACAACACGAAAAAGGTTCACAGATACTTGCATTGGAGTTAACTGGACTTGATGCAGAAATCGGCGTACCAACGGGTCAAGAGGAAACCGAACCCCTTCCTCGACTATGGCCGTGATGGGAAAAGCAACGGTATTTCTCGTGCCCATACGCTTGGCGTCTACTTTCGCCAATGAAAGGGTAACGTCGTTGGGAATATTATAGTCCAGGTGAAACATAGCCATGGCCTCGGGGGTATCAACCAGCGAGCGGAACTTCTCCATTTAACAAACCTAATGAGACAGAGGTAGGACTCAGATAACAGAGTATGGAACACAGACAGCGAGTGGACCAAACAAGATGATTAAGACAGGAAGCAGCAAGAGAAGAAGAATCACAAGAGGACTTATAGTGACTAGAACAGTGGTAGCAGAGCAAGATCGGCGGCGAAAAAAGTCTGAGCAGAAGCACCAACGGGACTGGTTCAGAGGAACGGGAAGAGTCCTCTCTCTCTCTTTGAAACTCTCTAGGGGAACGAAAAAACAGATAAAGGAATTTGTATTGACAGCCAGAGCATTAATTGCACTAGCCGGCGCGCAGGTACACGGGGCACGACCTTCAGTATGGAATCGATGCACTATCTCTGCACATCTATCTCACATTGTCACGTGTCACCATGAAAGGACGCATGTAGGGATTGTGTGTCAGGATTGAACCATCACCAAGGCCAAACTGGGGAAAACCAAAACGACGCGACGCTTGGGAAGCAGAGTAATAGCTCCCTCCAAAGGGAACCTTAGCGCGAGCTAGGGGGCAAATGAAGGGGCAAATGAAGGGGCTAAATGTGAAATGGGTTGGGTCCAAGCCTTGGGCCGGCCCAATCCACTGAAGTTGTAATCCAAGTGGGCTGGATG